GTCCACGGTGAAAGTTGATGTATTTCCTCAGCGACCAGCACGGATCAGCTCTAGGCATGACGAAGCGGATATCGTCCTCTTTTGGAAGACCAAACAAAGTAGTTTTGCTTTCACAACGAAACACACAGCTCTTCACGACACGGCGGCGGCAGCAACAATACTACAGCGAGAATAAAAGTTACGCCTTCCTTCTTTGCGTGAACATTTGGGCGGCGTTATGCAAATCTTCCCACATAGTGATGTAGACATGTGGGGGCGTGTTAGAACGAGGCGTTTTAGGTAGGTGTGGCTGACTCTTAACTTTTATAAAGAATATCTCTTTGGATTTGAGACTTTAGTCTTTGCAACTTTACAGATCTTCTTTATGCACCAAGAGCTTGTAACACTCCAAAGAACAATTGAAATCGCATCATATGACCCCTTTAAAAAAAAATATCTGGAAAACTGAAGTTGTCATTTCAACACAATCTGAAAATCTGAGGAACAAGCTGACCTCCATTAGAAATGATCCAAATGCACTGCACACTTTATAACAATGTCAGAAACATTACGACAAAATTTTAAACAAAGGAAAGCTGGTGCACAATATCACATTAATGAAATGCTTAAACTCAGAATGAGTGAAGCTCTTTTTCTTTTTTCAGTGTGTGTGTGTGTGCGTGTGTGTGTGAGAGAGAGCTCAGGGTCAGACCTTGAAGCGGCAGAAGGGGTTCTCCTGGCTGAACTCCACCGGCGGTGTGCTGCTGCTGTAGTAACCCTTCCCTACTCCCCAGAAGGCCTGCAGCTGGTTCCATCGGGCCAGAATGGAGTCGCGCTCGTCGCTGAGGACCGACGGAGCAGAGAGAGCGCTGGCTGTGTTAAAGAGCTGACTGGACTGAGACGCCTGCTGGTTAAACAGGCCTCCTGCAAACACACACACTCAGTATACACACACCGGCTCGTTCGGAGCGTCTGTTTCTGAACATGTTGCATCTTCTCTCTTAGTTCGATTCGTCAGTCCTTTATAAATACATAAACACTGCAATCACACTTCATCTGCACCAGAACAGCTGGTCTGAGATCGTCTGAATCAGGTGGTTTTTGGTGGATTTATTCCCATTATTCTCATAATTCATAACAGGAAATGTGTTACACAAAACCAAACCAAGAGGAAGAAATCCGTGTGTGTTTCAAGGGAGAGCAGGAGCTCTCAGACGCGGTCGGACTCACCCGGCTGGTTCTGAGCGGTCTGGATCCCACCGAATCCTCCGAAGCCCAGTGCAGCACCACCCAGACCTCCACTCGAGCCCAGACCAGACGAGAAACCAAAGCCCTTACTCGGAGTGTTTCCGAAGAGACTCGCACCTGCAGACAGCACTTCCTGTCAGACACACACACTAATATACACACGCACACACACACACACACACACACGCACACACACACACACACACACACTAATACACACACTAATACACACACTCTCGCACACACACAGTTGCGCACACACACACTAATATACACACTCTCGTAGGGCTTGACCGATATGTGTTTTTTCAGGGCAGATGCTGATACCGATTATTACAGATCAAGTAGACCGATAACCGATATTTTGAACCGATATACATGTTTGGTGTAAAAATGAAAATGTCAAAATTAAGAATAACAAGGGCTCTGACAAAAACTGCCTTCCCTGGTGGTGGTTGAGTGTAGTACTCCAACAGTAAACTCTTTATTTTTTGGCAAACAAAGGGTTTACCATTCAAATTAAAACATGGAAGAAATAGCGTATTGTGTGATTATTCTTTTAAACAAAAGTTGTAATAATTGACAGGGCTCTACGGATACTTTTCTTTTTAGGAGCGCTTGTGCTCCTAATTTAAAAAATGTAGGAGCACGGTCAAAAATTTAGGAGCACCTTCTAATCAGTAATCAAAAATTCTGATAAAAAAAATTAACCTTCCCATTACGAGGTGACAGTTGACTCAAAGTGATTTATAGGGAATTTAGTTTTTACCTTTGTAATGGCATTTTTCTAACTTTGTTAAAAGTATGTCATCTTTTGTCAAAATCAATAATATAAATTTATAAGCTTTTTAACATTTCTAATTAAAACAAGTAGAATAAGAAACTGCAATTATACCTAAAATGAAACTAAATCCGCCAGCAGATGGCGGCAAATCACGGATTTTATCATTGAATCATTCATTCAATTGATTCGTTTGAACGGCTGATTCATTCAGGAATGAAGCACGTGACTGTCTTTATGAATGTGTGATCATGAATCACTGACTCACTAGATTCGTTAAAAAATGCACTCATTCATGAATGAAACACCGCTGTGTTTGCTTTTAGAGATGCGCAGCGGCTGAGCTGTTACTTTATTTGGAACTATTTTCGTTGATGAAAGAGAGCAGAATCAGGCAGTACGTGTTTATTGAACTGTTGTATTAAATCAATATCACATTTGCAAACTCCTTGAATAATTATTCAAATCTGTCACTCTCCTTATCGCGATCTGTGGACGCACAGAAAATGAGAGTTCTCAAGACTCAAAAGTATGTGAAAATGAAGGAACCGGTGGGAATGAGTATAATTATTATTAATAGCTGCAATCCTGCGCCTGAAACTCAAGCCCTGCTCTGTGTTCTCTGCTAATAACCCGACTGTGCATGATGCGAGGTCAGAAGTATGTGAAAATGAAGGAACCGGTGGGAATGAGTATAATTATTATTAATAGCTGCAATCCTGCGCCTGAATCTCAAGTCCTGCTCTGTGTTCTCTGCTAATAACCCGACTGTGGATGATGCGAGGTGTTATGTTGTCAGTGAGAAGCTGCAGCCGTGGCGGGGAGGATGTTTGGTGTGCTGGTGTTCTGACAAATAATGCTACCTATCAGATTATGCTACCAACAAATCGTCAGAACACCGGCAGAACAACAACAATGTGCTACATGTTTCTTTTCCCCTCATTTTTTCCAATTGATGGAAATCCATCGTAGCGCCGGAAAACTTTCATCCCCGAGTAGTATTATGAACATCATACTGCACCACAGTAATATATTTCTGATCAATTCTTTAAGCTAACCCGGACTTATATTTTGACGGGTTGCCATGAGGAACGTGTTTCTGTAGGTCTATGTAAATGATATGAAGATAGTTTTACTCCAATGAAACGGTCAAATGCTCATGAAGTGACTCTGAGAGCAGTACTGGGGATGCTGTTCATGTATTTGTCATAATTTAGCGAGAAGGCAGATGCTAAAAACACAGCGAGCGTCACCCGCTCTTCAGTATGTGTGTAGTACACACTGTGTCAATCATTAACAGAGACAAGCAGAACATGCAGGTTTCATATTTAAATAGTATTTTTGCGGCTTAATATTTACAGATACTAGTCCGTATTGCGACTCTGACTAAGTGTACTGACCAACTTTTGATTAATTCATCCAAACTTTGACAAATTCCGTGACATTCCGCGTCATACAGTAAATTCCATTTATACGACTGTATTCCGCGATTCCATCCGCATTCTCCGCATCGCAGAAATCATAGATAATATTGAGGTGTTTTGCAACTTAAGTGTAACGTTAGAGGATTGGGAGCTATTGCAACTTAAGCAACGTCTGCTGCTGCCTTACCTTTGAGAGACAACTGATGCGTGATCACTGAAGCAGCTGCAGTTAGCAAGTGCTTTCGGAGTGAGAGTGAATTCCGCTTTGATTGGTCGGACTCGTGACACCCAACAAATCAGAAGAGGGGTGGGCGGAGACTGCTTTAGGCCGCAGAGTGGTGAGTTCTGACAGGCTGCATCAGAGCCAAATAGCGCGTTTCAAAATTAAGTTATTTTATCGGCGAATCGGTTTTGAAAATGACCGATACCGATAATCATAAAAATGCTTAATATCGGCGCCAATAATCGGTCCACCCCT